CCCTGCAACGGCTCCGTAAACAAGCTGCATGCTCCACTTGTGTTAGCTGGCTTTGTTGGATCTGATGACTTTCTTCTGCTTGCATAAATTATTGATCCCTGACACTCCCCATTTTCCACGCTGCACGGTGCTAAAGATCCTGCGTTATTTATAGGTAGCATTTGGAAGAGGAGCGGTGTTTGTGTGCCTCTGCTGATGATCGTTTCTCTCGTGAGTTCTCACATCGGGAAGCGGTCATGTTTGTGTTCTGTTGACCCAGGTGGGCTTGCAGTAGGTGAGGCCATGTTTCAGTTTGTTGCTGGAAGGGGGCTAGTTTGGCAACTGGCACTGACTCAGTCGAGCCTAAAACGCTGCCTTCCTTCAAAGAGACCAGCTGTTGTCTCTTGGTTTATTTTTTAAACGCAAAGAATATTCTTGAGCTCCATAAATCAGTTAGTATTCTGGCTTTTAGGTTTGGGGTCAGATTCACTTTCTTTTCTGGAACTAAATTATTATTTATACATAAACTTTTATAGCGAATTTTTGGTACTACTTTAAAATAAAGCACCCCATTTAGATGGCTAATAGATATTCTATTAATCATTTCCATAACGCTTTTAAAAATCATTATTAAGTCTTTATTAAGGGCAAGAAAGAAAGAAAATGACTGGTTTCTTGCTAAATAGTCAGCCAAGTTTGGTCTCAGTTTTTTGTTTTTAATAATATTAATAATAATAATGTTAATAATAAATGCTATTTGTAAAAGTTACTGATTAGCTAATAAAATATTTATTAGTTAATTATACGGGGGAATATTTCACCTTAAACATCACAACTAAACCACTTTAGTGATTGTTGGAGGCAAAACGCAGTTTAGTTCTGTTTCAGCTTCAGTTCTGAATAAACTAATGGAGACCGTTGCTTTTGAGGATAATCAAGTTAATATAAATTCTGCAGGTAAAGAAAAGGGAATAAAAGGGCTAAATCAGGCAACAGATTAGCAAAACATTTGATTATTTGCATGTATAAATAAGTGCTTAGTGATTGTTTTACTGTGTGAATTAGAATTTGTGACGTTTACAGATATCGCCCATCCTGCTTTTGTGTTAGAAACCTTAGAAAAGTTACTATTATACCTTTTATACATTTTTGCTCTCTTCATGGTGGCTAGTCGGGGCAGCAGTAGCTCAACAGGTTGAGCGGGTTGTCCCGTAATCAGAAGGTTGCAGGTTCGATCCCGGCTCCGGACAGAGAATTCTGCTGTTGTGTCCTTGGGCAAGACACAACCCACCTTGCCTGCTGGTGGTGGTCGGAGGGCCTGTGCTCGGCAGCCTCGTCTTTGTCAGTGCGCCCCAGGGCAGCTGTGGCTACATCGTAGCTCATCACCATCAGTGTGTGAATGTGTGTGTGAATGGGTGAATGATACACTGTAGTGTGAAGCGCTTTGGAGTCCTTACTCACTACAAGTGCGGGTCATTATCATTTAATGTCGCTGCTCAGAATGTCTTTCTGGTGACGTTTCACTCTGTCCTCCATGTTCTCACATTTTATTTTCTCCCATCACACGTCACATGCACTATTTACGCTCACTCACATCCAACCCCCACTGGTAACACTGTGACGAGGTGGCGCCAGGTCGTCCTCGTGATCTCCTTTATTTGTCTTTAATCCTTCACCTTTAGCTCTCGGTCCTTCAGTCTAGTATTCTGTGTGTTTTTATTAAGTCGCCTCCTCCTTTTGAAGCTCTTACTGTCTGACAAGCGTATAAAAGCCACTCCAGCTCATGTTTGTCCTATTCAGAGAAGAGGGAGTCGACCTTGATGCAGCTCATTAAAAACACCTAATGTGGAGAAAGGGAAGTTGTACAACTAGATGTGGGAACATATTTTGAGAGCTACTCAGTTTGAGAGCTGCATGATTCCCCCTGACAATCCCACCACCTGCCCTGCACCAGCTACTGTTTTCTGTCTTCTGCTTTCCTCTACGTAAACATGTTCAGTACTTCTCAGCTCTTGTCGTTCTATTCCCTCTGCTACCTACACCTTTCCCTGCTGGAGTAAGGCTTTACCTGGCTGCCAGCGTACCTGTGTGCCTCTTGGATTATTCATCATTAGAAAACATTACTGCTCCTGCCTAGCAGATCCCCCCGTGGGTCCTCCGTCCTGTCCTCTGTGCACCAATGCTGACCAAGAAGGTGAAAAATGAAGCTAATGGGAAAGTGACTAAAATTGCAGTTTTCTAAAAGGCCACATGAGGATAGCTCTAAACCCCCTCCAAGTCCCAATCGTAGGTTTTTCTCAGAGATAAACACATTTCCTGATCATTACGAGGGTCAAGGTTAATCTTTAGTATTGTGATCTACGTCTATCATATCACCAGATTCTCCCTGTTTGTCTTGCTGTCTTAGTTTTAATTAACATGCTATATTTTTCTATTATCATCAAACATGTTAATAAGATATATATATATATATATATGTATGTATATTCCGTTCTGTTAACTTAGTTTTTATCTAATCAGAAGTTTCAAATTAGTTTATCTTTGAGCTTCTCTGCAGTTTCGTCTTCGTCTTCGTCTTCCTCCGCTTATCCGGGTCCGGGTCGCGGGGGCAGCATCCCAATTAGGGAGCTCCAGGCCGTCCTCTCCCCGGCCTTGTCCACCAGCTCCTCCGGCAGGACCCCAAGGCGTTCCCGGACCAGATTGGAGATGTAACCTCTCCAACGTGTCCTGGGTCGACCCGGGGGCCTTCTGCCGGCAGGACATGCCCGAAACACCTCCCCGGGGAGGCGTCCAGGAGGCATCCTGACCAGATGCCCAAACCACCTCAACTGGCTCCTTTCTCTGCAGTTGTAGCTACAAAATAGCATTGAAGTGGTTAAATGTGTCACGAACTCCTCCAGCTGACTCCATTTCCCAGCATTCCCGCCACCAATGTGTCCGCCGACATCATCACGCCGACACTATAAACGGAAGTGCCGACGTTTCATTCATTACTCTGTCATCGTTCTCACCAGACTTTGAATCGAGTTCTCAGGCTTACCAGCCTTCAAACCTTCAAACCGAACCTAAAGGAGCTAAACCACGCTGTTTATCTCCACCACTCCGCGTCTGGGCAACAGACCTTCTCAGCCACGCTTCAGCTCTGCCACCAAACCTGACAAACTGGGACCATATGAGTGGCGAGCTTAAAAGAGGGTTTTTTTTCAGAGGGAGTTCAGAGCAGAACTGCTCTTCCTTTCATAATAAATCAGTTAGAATACATTTTGGACACGTCATCCAGATTCCTTCTCGATGCCTATCTGTTAGGATCCCTCTCAGAGGAAAGCTTGGGGCTGTATTAGTCACACCAGAGGTTTAACATTTCCTGAAAAGCATGGGAATGCCTCATCATCCACCAGGATTAGCCATAGGTGGACAGAAAAAGGGCATCTAAGCTCCCCCACTTATTCCCGCATGAGCTAATGAAAATGAGATAAATGATAGAAAAGTGCTGAGATGGAAGTAAGTGCATTTCACAGTTATTATAATGTTCTGGTCATTAGGCAGATTCATTAAAATATGACAAGCTTGTTTTCTTCATCCATTATTAAGCTGATTTCTGCTGCACTAATTCCAACACAATAACAACGTCCTGTTCTGCACACTACTCTGTTGCTCTTAATTATCATCTCAGCAGAAACACTTGTTCCAATTGTTTTCACTTAGACATTTTGATAAATGTGAAGCTCTCCTTCTGCGTAGGTCAGTGTTTAATAATATATGTCTGCAATCAATAAGACAATAAAAAAGATAAGAAATTAAGTCAGTGGATTAAAAAAACAGCTTATTTTAGCTAAAATAAACTAGAAGTGTGACAGAAGCATTGAAAAAGAGCTTTTTGCTTTTCTTCATGGGGAGAACGAGTTACTGAGCAGGAAGTTAATGTTGTTAGTTAGCATCTGGAGCAGCATTGGCCACAAGTCAAATGGGAACAGATGCATGAAAATATGCTAATAAATCGAGTTGCATGTAAAGGAACACTTAACAGTTTCCAGCTTCTCCGCCCTACTGGTTGAAAGTGGAAGTACAACTGTCATGAACATCCCTGCTGCAGCCTGCTGTAGCTCGCGCTAACAACGAGCTAAAACTAACGTTGATACTAAACAAGCCATGAATTAAAAAGATCCATGCTGTTAGACAAGAAAAAATGATTACCTACAAGTCCAGTGGCAACAAAGTCACATCACCATCAGCTCATGATTAGCCTCCTTCAGCTTCCTCAAATGAGTGTAGGCCATGCCAATGTTTACTCTGGTTTTAGCTTGTTCCTTCATCTTCAAATACATTACTCTGACTTTTACCTACAGTCTCCACCATAAAGCCACAGACAAAACAAACTTCTTTTGTTTTTTTATAGATGGTCGGCGAACTGAAAAAGCTAACTGCTAGCCTTTATATTGGCTACCAGCACAGAAAATTATGCAAGTGAAGAGCACCCCCTAGGAACACTAACCACTTCGCAAAACGGTTAAGTACTGTTTCTGGTTAGCAGAGGTCATCAGACTGCTCTCCCATGGGAATTTGGTAAAGTGTTTACCTACACAGTCACTGAACCTCACTTTTAAAGGGATACTATGCAACAAGTGTTCCTTTAAATGAATAGGTTAAATAATAAAAAAATTGCTTAGTGATTATTGATGAAGATGTAAACATATATACGTGGAGGAACACAACTTCTGCGTAATCTTAATGTTAACTTAAAGACACTTCTCTTTTTTGGGGGTGGTGGTGGGGGGCTGTGTCTTTAGTATGGAAAGAAGATACACAAACCATTTCAAGTCAGTTCGTTGGAGGAAGATGACTATAAAATCTTGTGGGTTGTGGAAACAGAGGAGTGGTCAAGGCGTTTGAGTGCTGAGGAATAATGGGCTTCTGTTGTGATCTGAGACAGCACATGTCTCTCTGGCGTAAAGTATTTTCCTGAGCCCTGTTGTTGGTAATCATAATAATAACAGCAAATCATTTGCATTGTTTCTCTTCAGCTCTCACTGTCTCAGCTGGCAGTTACTTCACGCAACCCGACCATCAGCCACTCCAGATCGGTGTTGCCTGGGCAACAGTCATTTCCTTCTCTGCTCCGTCCTTCTCCATTGGCATCAGCCCACCAGCTGTCACATGTCGTAAGACTTCCACCCCCGTCTGCTCGCTCACACACACACACACACACACACACACACACACACACACACACACACACACACACACACACACACACACACACACACACACACACACACACACACACACACACACACACTAGGGCCTGCACGACTTTATTTTTTTTAAAGTCGACAGTCAAGTAATGAAAGTCGAGTCGACTTCGACTAGTCGTTGATGACGTCATACGCCGGAAGCGGGGGGGGGGGGGGGGGGGGGTGTCGGTCGGTAGGTTCGCTGGAGTTTTTGACAATTAAAATTGCACCCACATTTTCTAAGTTAACACATCTCTTTTAACAACGGTAGTTTCTGCTTCAGTCATCTCCCCCCTCCCCCTGCGCAGCAGCCGCAAACTCACTGATGCGCCTGCAGCCTTTCCTGCTGCTCTAAACATTAAAATAATTATTTCATTTTCTGTTCCTCACTTCTGATTACCTTCAATGGTGTCTGTTTGTTGCAACCACCAGGTACAAAAACTAACTTGTTTTTATTTGACTATTTTTCTGTCCTGTCTGTTTATTATCTTCCTGCATCTCCTCTCAATCCTAAAGAGAAACTGCTACCTGGGTTCATATATATTCACCTTATGAGTTACCTTTGAACTGCAGTTCTAAAAAGATCTACCGACTGCTAAAACAGCGGAGTGCCGCTGCTCACCGGCCGACTACAACGGGACCGTTTTTGCTGGGGAGTTCATGCTGAAGCGGAGCGGAGTGGAGATAGTGGAATCTTGGGGGTGCGTCACCGGAGGACAACAGGTGATGCGCCTCGCTCCGCAGCAGCGAAACGCATCAGGCACAAATAACAGACAGAAAACATGAAAGGAAATGAGCCGACATGAACGATCGCGTGTTTAATTTGTTTTTGAGGTGGTGACACCTGATTTGGCGGTGCTCAGGACGCAATGTCTGGAGCGCACGTCAACGATCAGAGCTTTGCATGCACAAACTGGTTAAGATTAGGATGGGGGTGAGGGGAAGGTTAAATTGCAAGAGGGAAAAGGTCACAGTTTGGTTAAATGTCCGTTTTACCGCCGGTGTCAGTACCGCACAGCGCGTCGCCTCAGCCTCGATCCAGACGCGCAGGGGCTCATCACCTGCTGTCTTTTCCGAGGACTGCATCTTGTCAGTCATTATCACGTGACAGCGACTAGTCGATGACAGGCATAAAAAGTCACTACAGAGCCGTGAAGTCGACTAGTCGACTAGTCGACTAGTTCGTACAACCCCTAACACACACACACACACACACACACACACACACACACACACACACACACACACACACACACACACACACACACACACACACACACACACACACACACACACACACACACACACACACAAAGCATTTAACAAAATGGAGTAACATGTGCATTTACAAGGTTGACATTCAAACACAAAACAGGCTACAGCACATTGTTTAAACATCTTTATGAATATGCTGACACACACACACACACACACACACACACACACACACACACACACACACACACACACACACACACACACGCTCAAAGGATGAACTCCTTTGAATAACTTTTCAGGGTATAAAACTTTGATTAGCTTTTTGTCTTTTCTAACTTTTTTCTATCTATTTCTATGCGGATTATGACCCGATGCAATATTCTCTAACGAATGCTGTGAACCAGCATAAAGATAATGACTGATGTTAAAAAGAGTGCGATGAGCTCCGGTTTTCTAACAAGCCCTAATGCATCCTAATGCATTATGGTTGCAGTCGGCACATACGCCCAAGAAAAGCTGAGGAAGCCAGCCGCACCGTGCTGATTTTAATACCTCTTGTGAATAATTTCCTGAAATGATGCAGAAGTAACCTGCTCCCCACTGTTGTGGTGTTTGCTGCTGAGAATTGGCTGACAGTCACTTTGCCTTTGAAATCTGCCTTGTCTTTCCTAATTTAGACCATGTTCACCCACAAAGATGCATACATTTGGGAATCGGTGCTGTATAATCTCACAGAATAGTGAGAAAAATCATAAAGCTGTAATCCTGGGATTAACCCGGAATCGTTTTCTGCATATCAGAATTACTTTGCACATTTTGCATGCCGTGCACTAACTTTATCTGTCCTCTGTAAAAACAAACTTATCAAACATCTGGTTTTTAGGAGGCATGTGAGAGATTCAAACTGCACAATGCAAAGCCCAACTGTAGAGGTAAACTTTACTCATATTTTAATACATTTGCAGTAGTCAAGTAGGAATAAACACCTTGTAAGTCACTGCAGTTAGCTAAAGCAGTAGAAAGCCAAACTGGAGTGACCATTTCCCATGACACCATATGGTGCACATTGCAGAAGAATGGCATGCATGGGTATCGTTCACGAAGGAAGCCTCTACTAAAGCCCATGCACAAAAAAGCACACCTAGAACTTGCTAGGGCCCATGCTGAAAGAGATAAGCTGGGACTCAATAATCTGGAGTGATGAGACAAAGATGTCTGTTTTTGGAACTAATGGTTTCAATACTGAATGGCATTGTTAAGGTGAGGATTTCAAAGAGAAATGTATGGTGCCTACAGTGAAACACGGTGGTGGCGGTGTCCTTATGTGGGGCTGCGTGAGTGCTGCTGGTGTTGGGGAGCTGCATTTCATTGATGGTATCATGAACTCAACAACGTACTGCTCTATACTGAAGGGGAAGATGCTGCCATCACTTGGTCGTCGTGCACTTTTCCAACACGACAACGATAAAAAACACACTTCTAAAGCCACTGTTGCATTTCTGCAGAAGAACAGGGTGAAGGTGATTGAATGGCCAAGTGTGTCTCCTGATCTGAACCCAATCCAATACCTGTGGGGAATTCTGAAACATCAAGTTGAGCATCACTCTCCACCCAGCATCCAGGCTCTAAAACAGGTTATTCTTGAAGAATGGAAAAGACAGATGTTGCAACATGTCGCCAACGTGTTCATTCCATGCCTATTAGACCTGGTGCTGCCCTTGAAATTCACGATGGTCATACAAAATACTAGATGTAGTAGTTTTTGTTGTGGGGTGTATTCATTTTTGCTTCAACCAATTTTAGTAAAACTAAAGATTTCGTGATCTGAGTTATTCTTATTAACCTTAATTTCATGTAATGGAGTTAATCAAGTGTTCAATAAAAACCCAGCCTTGTGAAAATTCATTGAGCTACTGATTAAATTCATACTATTTAGAGGGGGTGTACTCATTTTTGCCGAGCATTGTAGATGTAGGAGACTATTTTCACATTCAGCCTGCACGAAAAGCTCAGAGTGACTCATCATTTTCATCACTAAGTAAAAAATGGTTGCTCTTTAATTGAACCAAACACAAGGAGAACATGAAAAGAAGTCCACTTTGGAGCAAACCAATGTCAACAGCAAGTACTGTGATGTAACTTCTTTCATTGTACCATCGATTAGTCATTGTTGCTTATGTCCAAAATCGTCAATAAACCACTTTGAGTCTGCTGCCATAAGCATTTAATGGAGCTCAAGTATTTGATAATCCATATCTGCACTGTACCCTCCATCAAGTACACCTTTTACTTCATTCGTAATTACATTTTCATCTAGAAACTAGTGGGCTTGGTGGCTTAAAGGAAGGGGGAAAAGTACTGAAATGGGCTTTTCGTAGATTTTGTAAACAAAAGAAGAGAGACGTGTAGCCTGAAATGCTACAATCCATCTAAATACTCCATCTCATTACCAGTGATGAGTGGTTTTGCCGCAGCACCTGCTGTATGTTAAAGGATGTCAGGTGAAACTGAGTGAGAGCAGAGTTGACGGTTCATTCTGGGTCACAAAGAGATGGGGGCATGTGCACACCTCATATTTCCTCTATCTAACAAAGTTTATACTATTTATGTATCTGTAGCAGATGTTCTGTGTGTTTGGTCACTTCTTGTTGTCTTCACATGGCAAATCTGATGAAACGATGTGTCACACAGGAGTTGTTTATGAAAAACGCATGAAGCAAAAAGATCAAATCCAGTTGAATGGGTGCATGGAGATTAAAGTTCAGGAAAAACGTGAGGAGTTTGTTTCAGGACAGCAGATCTGAAGATCCAACACAAAATGCTGTGAGGGTAATATTAGAAATGGAGAGACAAGTCATCAGTCGGTGACTATGATGAAATTTCTTCTCTCACTTGTGACATCATGTGGATTTTTTTCCCTCGTATCATTTTAATAGAAATAGAAGACTTGAATAGCATCTAGTTAGCCAAACATTTAAGGAAATTTGAACAAATACCAACAAAATCGAGTAGAGGAGCCCTTCACTTTTGGAAAGAGCTGAAAGCCACGCCTCATACCACGAACATGCACCCAAAAAGCCATGTACCTCTAACAGACAAGTAATGTTTTAGAGATGTTCCTGCTTAGACACGGCTGATTTTGACTGCTGAATCATCTCCTTAGCATTCATTGGGTTCTGCAGGAGCTGCTAATCACTAATTTTAATCAAGTCTGCAGTGTTAAGCCAGGGAAATGTCTGTAGCGGGCAGGAATCCAGCACTTGTGATGCTAGCACACCCCTGCTAATGCTACAACAGGCTAAACAACAATCCGATGTAGCACACAGTTGAATTCTATGCTAATCACTTAGCAAAAATACACCAAAATTAGCACGGTTAGCTTGAAGTTTACAGACTGAAGCCCAATCTCAATACTCACACTGCGCCCTGCAGACTCCAGCAAAGTGCACTTGGAGAAAGTACGCAGTAGGGTTTGAGTGCATAGTACACAAGTGTGCAAATAATAGCAGAATTGAGACAGGGAGCATTGCTTCATCAATAGCAACGCATGCCGGGATGCTGGTCGCTGTGATACTTTTTTCAAAAACCATTATCAACAACTTTTAAACAAACAGCCAAACAGTTATTTGAAAAAAAAAATTACATTTATTGCTGCTTTGTCTAAAAGTTTTAGAGCATCAACTAATCATCCTAAAATGAACTAATTTCATTAGAAAATACATATTTTCAGAAAAGGAACTTGAGCCATTTCTCCTGCAGCAATGACTTCTGGGTAAAACCCTTGCCCGAGGTCCGTGTCGCTGCAGACTTGGGTGAAATGCTGATTAAAGGTGCAATGGGGGCGTCGTCAACTTCCACTCGCACCCCTGGCTGGGAACGCGCAATTGAAGAGTGCGAGGGTGAAAGTGCGAGTATTGGGATAGGACCTGCCATTAGTTCAATGCCGGTTGAGTTAGCATTCAAGCTAGGTTGGTGTGCTAAGCCGACACCATGCGTCACTGTGCAGTGCATGCTGGGAACTGGAGTGCATTCTTATTGGGTGACAGCTTTCTCTTGTGGATACACAAATCTATCGATCAACGCTCTAGGTTCATGTAAAGGATTTGTGTTGCTAAGGCCAGGGGAGGGGCTTAGGGAAAATATAAATTATGAAAGATGACCTACTTTATGTCATAGCACAGGGTCAGATGTTCACATTTAATAATTTTTAAGCTTCTCTACGCTTTCCAGATTCAAACGTATTCAGATGCAGCAATGCTTCTTTAATGATCACTGAGCACATTGGTGGTTGGTCATGAGTTTTTATGTTGATGGAGGTGATGATTTAAATCCTTGTCTTATGACAAAGATGAGCCCCCACAAATCAATACAGACTTTAGCACAACCTTTTAAGCCCCTTATGTCCTCTGTGACATATGCCGGCTTTGCAATAAGCTTAGGCTTGGAGAAAATTAGGCAATTTTCTGATTTATCCTTAGTGAAGTTTCATTCTTGTTGCCTCATTGCTTTAATACACCCCAACTTTATTTGAGATAGCATTTCCAAGCAGCCAATATGTTCAGTAAAGTCAGACTTTTATGGATTTATCCTGGCGTGTAAGCGTACGTCAGTGGGTCAAACTTTTGTTGCTGCAAACCTCCCTTTCCTTTTCAGTCTGATCAGCTTGTTATGAAGAGGTCAAAGTTGTTTTATGTTGTTTAAATTAATGACTATTCAAGTGTTCTTTGGTAATGATAGAGCCTGACTTCTTAGCGAGGAGAAACATCAGAGCTTTCTCCTAAATAAAGGACCACATTTGCATCCATTAATCAGAGAATCAGAATCAGAGAATCAGAGAGAATTTTATTGCCAGCGCTCCAGCGAACCAGAGCATAGGAACTTGACTCCTCAGAACAGCCTGACCAAGATTACACACACACATATAGACAGGACAGATAGAGGCAGACCACGAGAGCAGCCATAACGGCGCTCATTCAATAGATGAAGAGGGGATTACATGAGGAGAGTTCGGGGAGAGAGAAAAAGGCATTAACAGAGTTACATCGGCAGGGTGTAGCTCTACTATGCAAAAAAACACCTCAACATATAAGCACGAAAGTCACAGTTCACAACATGAGACCCGGTAGGTGTGTGTGTGTGGGGGGGGGGGGGGTCTCCTCAGCGGGAGCAGCCTGTGTGGCGCTCGGCCAACTGAATCCACAGGTGGGTGGGAGGTCATGGGAAAGCACAGAGCATAGTGAGTGCCTCCATCTTGATGACTTCGATGCAGAGACCACAATCTGAAGGTGGGGGGGGGGGGGGGGGGTAGGTAGGGTTTTCACAGCATTTGTCTGCATTCCTTCCATCGTGGGGGTTTTTGCACGCAACTCCAAGGCTGCTTATGGCGTCAGATTGGATAACAAGACTTTGTTTGGGTCAGGCAGAGATAATTTTCCTCTCTGCCTTAAAGTCTGTATTGATCATTCAAGTCCTCCAGTGAAGCCAATTCGGTGATTAAACATCTCCACACCGTCCGGTGACCCTCTCCGAGATGACATCCATTTTGCGCACTAACACCGGTAACACAGCTAAGACATTGTCCAGCTTGCGATTCACCTTGAGTAACGTCCCAGTCTGTGAGGTCTCCGCCCGGACGGTGCCGTCCATGGGTGCGGGTCGCCCTCCAATCGCTCCCGTCATCCCAATTTTTCGGAAAACCAGATATCCTCCCACTCCAATCTGAAGAAATCCAGCGATCATCAGGCCTAATATCCACACATCTTCGACGTCCTCAATGGACAGCTGAGAGAGACAGATGACATTCCACTTCTTCCAGGAATCGAGCATATATCCCACTGCGTGTGTCCCTTGAGGGCAAGCGCGAGCCCCCTCCTCCATTCTCATCATAGAAAAAATCTTATCAATCGTGTTGAATGACCAATTAATTAAATCCATTTCTGAAAAATAGTGATTTCCAGAGGAAATGCAGAGAAGCGCTCTGTAGGCAGACGGGACAAAAAGAGCCTTGGGAAAAAGATAAGGGAGCAAAGCAGAAGTGACTGTGCTCTGTGAGTGCCAGAAGAAGTCACACATGTTAACTTAGGCTTGTTTTTAGCACCCCCTAATGTCCATTTAGTAGAACCAAAAGCAAAACATATCTCCTCGCTGTGCGTTTGTCTTTTTAACACCTTAATATGACAGCTGAAATGTCTCCCCAGCCTCCACAAGTGTCTACAGGAGTGGTTCGTCACTAAATAAAACAAATCAACTTTGTTCATGATCTAAAATATGCAGGAAATGTGCTGAAAACAGCGCCAGGTCCACAGGTGGCGGCCCGCCGGTCTGAATTTACAAATGCAGCATTCTGACCACAGAGGGCAGTAGGGGTCAGAGTGACATTTCAGTAATCCTGTAGGGTCATTTTAGCACATAATGGCTCAAGAACATGATTTAAAATGTGAAAAAGTAGCATAGTAGGGTTTATGCCATGGAATCTTGGTTTGATGCTTCCTGACTTTTTAGCCTGCTGAATCACTTCCAGATGGCAGTAACGTCCTCCATCGCGTTTTTAAGTGATCGTTGCAGGACCTGCCGAGAATAGCAGTCAACATGATAATGTGGGCCCAATTTCAGATGGTTTTAAACAGTATGTGTCCACCTACATAAAGGCTAGTTAGCAAGCTTCTGCTTTGGGTTGCTAAACGATGATGCATGCTAGCCTTTTATTAGCCAAACCTAGCAGTGAATCAATGCTAACAATGTTATCAGAGATATAGGTTAACATCATGAATGATTTTTGTTTCCTTAGTAAAGAGCTAGCATGTTTGATTTAGCAGTCCAAAGCAGAAGCTTGTTACCTCACCTTCATAGTTATGAATGGAGGTGGACATGTTCAGATTAAAACCTTTGTCTTTATTTGATCGTGGCATCTAACATGTGGCCTAGATTATCCCAAATACGTTGTTGATCATTATCCGTAGTAGGTCCTGCAGTGATAGCGTACAAATGCCATGGAGAATGCTAATGTTATGATGGTTAAAAAGTCAGGAAGTGACAAACCAGGGGTCTGTGGCTTATAGGCTATTATAGTTGCTGTAATCTAATGCAGTGTGTGCATCATTGATGATTTTTGTGTTTGCTGAAGGCCCGCTCTGCTGTCACCAACATCACCCACCTGGAGATGGACCTTCAGCGGGTTGGTGATGAGCCACTTTCAGGTCAGGAGGAAGGAGACCAACTTCGGGAGCTTCCCTTCACCCCTGTCCACGCTCCTGTCATCACTCCGGGGATGAGCGTACCAAGGTGAGCCGTTCATGTTTTCCCTGAAAGTAAAGTAATGCTGTTCAAAATCTTATCATTTTGTTTTAAATTTTGTTATCTGTGTGGCAAGTCCTCAATAACTCGCACAATGCCTCTTTTCCATCAGCTGACATGATTTTCTTAAGTATTTATACTTTTTTTTTTAGATCAGTTTCCTTTTATTCTTGCAGGTGTTTAGCCAGAAGCTCATTTCTGCATTTTTTCCTCTCTGCATGCATCTTTTAAGATAGTTGTAAAACTCTAAAACAGCCTTAGCATCCGGACTGTCAGTTCACACTAGATCACACCACAAGCTAAAGCCTGACGTGTTCAGCAAGTAGACAGAAAAACACTAGTCAGTTTCATTTTTAAGGGCTCCGATTGAAGTTATTTGAGGACTTTTGGGTAATTACTAATCTTTTAGGAAAAAACTCATCATGGGTCATGAGTCAGCTGTGATCTGGAGCTGTAAGAAATACCTTTAGAGTCTGTAGGGAATATTTTAATGAACTGAGCTCACGTTTTATAAATACAAAGCCAATGGGAATGCAGCCAACACCGTTAATTTGATACCCTGAACGAGAAAGAAAGTATGCTTCGCAAATAATGGGCACAATCACTGAGAGAGGAGAACTTGTTCTGATGCAGAGGTTCTGTAAATAAGCAGCTGGCAGAGAAAGCGGTTCCCAATCCCAGCGCTTGGATCCAGGCACGATGTTGTTCAGTTCAGTGGGCTGAAACATCTTTGCAGCTTCACTCAGAGCCAAAGCATCGTTTTTGACTGTTTTCAGTGTGAAATGACCCACTTTTCTGAGGAGAACAATAAAGTTGAAAGGAGTTTAATCCAAGTGGCTGCGTGTATCTGATGGAGCTCACTTCTTAAATAAAAATGATGGCTTGAATATTAATCCACGAAGGCTAAATTGAGATAAAACTTTAATCAGTGCGGAACAAACAAAAAGCATGAAATCGACACAGCTGTGAGGAAAAACACAACCGACTCCTTTCTCCGCTGCTGTCACCTTAATTAGTTGATCGAGGCTTCGTTGTTTAAGAAAACCGTCGTTTTGTTTTGAACTGTTCACCAAACGGACTAGGGCGGCGTCCACGCCGCTATCATGACACGATCGCTCATTGTTCTGTTGCCTGCACTTTAGCCAACCATCTGCACTGTGTGTGTGTGTGTGTGTGTGTGTGTGTGTGTGTGTGTGTGTGTGTTAGATGTTGGTGTAGAAAATATGCGTTATGTATTTTACAGTAGTTGTGCAAAAACAGGTGGCCACCATGATTAGAGATAACTGGCAATTACGCTTGAAGATCCTGAGGGAGAGCTCCGTCTCCCCCGTAACTGTAATGGTGGCGACGCAAACGCTGACATCCGTATGCTGTCTCATCATCGCTTCATCACATTTATGATCCATGCAGCCGGATATTGCTATTCAGGTTCAGATAAGCAGGATGAAGCGTCAAAGTCGATGTTATCTCCCAGAAAGATAATCATCTTGAATTAGTATGGAAGGAAAGCATGATTAAAAAAAATCTCACATGATAAGTGAGTGTTGTATTCCACTCAGATCGAGCCATTTCTCCTGTATCATTTAAAACAAATCACCTTAATGAGGCCAGCATGGTTGAGACTCCACACATTACCTCCTGCTGTGTGCAGAAAAGCTCACAAGAAACCATTTGAGCTTCTTCTTCTCTTGAAAATCTGACTTTTTGTTCCTCAGTTCCTGTTCTGTCAGCTCGAGGAGCTCGCTGGCACACCTCTTTTCTGCTGGCTTCCCTGAAATTGCAGACTCTAGTGGCCGGGTGGCAGACGTCCTGGACCCCACAGCACCTCTGTCCTTTGATTCTCAGCAGGAGGAGGCTGACCTTTTACAAGGAAACCTGCTGGTGTTTCAGTTTCTGGCATTTACCAGGTGAGATCAGCAGTGCTGACACACATGGAGCAGCTTGTTGTACAGAAAACTTCACAACACTACACATTTTGGCTTTTGGGATTCTGTTTTTACTTGAATGGACAGGGGTCAGTTCATTTAAACCTCCAAAATGCCAGTCATCCTAAACGTTATGATCTTATTTTTTTAAGTTTATCTTCATTTATGCATATATTCTCCTTCAGACACAGGGTCACGGTTTCTGGAGACCTAGTTCAAGGGAACATACGTATTGCTAAAAGTATTACAAAATATAAAACAGTCAGTCACCATCTTCAGAGCGAGGCTCTGAAATTGAAAAGAAACACAGAAAGAACATAACAAGGAGTTGTGCTGTTGTTAGCCAATCAGAGGTGAGATGTTTGCATATCATGAATATTAATGAGCAAGACTCGTAATCCTGACGTTTTTCACCCCCTACTCCTCCAACGACCTTCTGCCCCTGAAACAGGAGCGTCAGAGCTCGTCTTACACCGATAGTGACTCACAGGACATTCATTCATACTAGAGACCACTACAAATATAAAGAAAAATGAGTGAATGAGACCTTTAATATCTGTTCTCTGGTTTATAAGATGTTCCATCCAGGAGTACACACACACACACACACACACACACACACACACACACACACACACACACACACACACACACACACACACGCACACGCACACGCACACACACACACACACACACACACACACACAGGCAGAAATGTTATCACTTCATTTTTTGTGGCAGCCAAGAGTTAATCTGGACATCTTATTCTTACTCTATTAAAACCCGGATGGTGGGAGCTTTCTACAGCTGAATGAAGATAAGACTCAGATCCTCATCTGTGCCCCAGACAAGCTGGTTCACAAAGTCAGAGACTCTCTTGGTCAGCTCGCTTCTCACACCAACCCTCTTGTTAGGAATCTTGGTGTGACCTTTGACCCAGCAACTCACCTCGATGGTACAATGAACCCGTTCTCTAAGCTGAGTCCCATTCTGTCCCGCTCTGAACTTGAGACAGTTCTCCACACCCTCCTCTCCTCACGCTTAGACTACTGCAACTCTCTTTTCACGTGTCTGAGCAGAACCTCCCTGAACCGTCTACAGGTGGTTCAGAATGCCTGTGCTCGGCTTCTGACCAAGTCCTCCAAACACACCCACATCACCCCGCTTCTCCTCCAGCTTCACTGGCTGCCAGTCAACTTCAGGGTTCATTTCAAGATCCTGGTGCTGGTCTATAGGGCCTTACATGGACAAGCACCATCTTACATTGGTGATCTTCTCAGTCCCTACACCCCCAGCAGGTCCCTGAGGTCCAGTGATCAAAGCCTACTGGTTGTGCAGCACACCAGGCTAAAGACCAAAGGTGACAGATCATTTGCTGCTGTGGCCCCTAGACTCTGGAACTCTCTCCCCCTGAGCCTGAGATCAGTGGACTCAGTGGTCTCCTTAAAAAAGCACCCGAAAACTCACCTGTTCAAGCTGGTTTATGGGTGATCTTTGTCAACACCCTTTCCTTGTTCTGCTCTTTCTAAGAGTTTTGCCTTTCCCGGGATCCACTGACCGCCCTCGTTCCTATTTCCTTGTGAAGATTCTCAGTCATCCAGGTCATGGTAATCCAAAAGGGTTCAAATGAAGGCAACTGGACTTCTTTGGTGTCTTGAAGACGTTTCGTTTCCCATCCAAGGAGCTTTGTCATTTCGCTCTTTCCAATTCATTTTCTCTCTCCCTTTCCTCACATTTTAAAATAACAATAAAACTTTTTTGTAATTTTTGTGATATTTTTTAAATAAATTTTTAATATATGTTTTAATAATTTAAAAAATGTTTGTTCTTGTGAAGCGTCTTGTGATTTTTATCTTGAGAGGCGTTGTATAAAACACCATTTTCTTTCTTATATTATGATGGAGCGAAGCAGGAGACTTCTCTGTGTACCACAGGTCTGGTTAAAGCGTTGAAGGCTGTGGCTGCTTTGATTAGGTGACATACTTTATAGGAAGATAAGGAGGCTGGCAAAATGCCAAGATTGGATCTGTAAAAGAAGAAGTCTGCATGAGGACAATTACAGCCACTTAACCTGTGAGTATAAAGCACAGGGGTGAGGGAGGGGTTTACATCCTCTTATGAATCTTAATGCTCCATGGAAAATGGCGTCCGACATTCTCGGCAAGGTAATGGGAGCAATATTCAAATATCAAGTTTGTGTCCATGCACATGCATACTAATTCTCACAAAATGCTATATCCTCTCAGAACACTGCTTCTATCAGAGAAGCCTATGGGGGAGTCGTCCCCTCTGATGGAGAACACTTGACCCCTCATGTTCTACCAGCCGTCCTCTCTTACGTCCTGTTCGTCACAGGCTCATCAGTATGTGGTGGTAAAACCAAAATGTTCTACTGCTCCAACACTGTTCTAATTGCTGAGTTTCTGGATTAATCAATTACCGTTAAGGTCATTTTTGCATCTGCAGTACCTCTGACAGATGAGGAAATCACAGCAGGCTAAATACTCCAGATTTTACTGCAAAGTTAAACTCAAGAGAAAAATAAACTGCTACATTCTTGAATCTTGTGTCACTAAAGAGTTTTTGCTTGGAAACATTTAGATCGATACAAAAACTAACATTTTGTGACAGTTCTCTTTTCAAAGCATTGCAGGAAGAGTTTCTAAGCTTGGAGTTTGAATATAGTGAGGGTGAAAGAGGATTCGCTCTAAAACCAAGGATTTAAAGCCATGTCAGAAGCTGCAGCTACTGATCTCCTTCCATGTCATTCTCAAAAACAAATATGAGTACTTTATGAAATGCAAATGCTCATCTGCTCAAAACCACACACTGAAGTCAGGAAATCATTCCTTGAAACATTTTCTTTACTTATTTATATTAATTCAAACGAGTATGCATTTCAGAAAACATAGCTTAGCTTAAATTGCTAACAGTGTCAAAGCTAAATGTTTAAAGACCAAATTCACTTAGAGACCTTTTTTACTCACACTGAGTTTCACTCCCAGGCTGAGCATAAAAAAAGTCTACCTCTATTACCTGCTAATAGAAAATAGACGAGAAAAAGCTCATAAGAAAAGTCGCTCATTTACACATCACATTATAAGATGGACTCATCCATCTTGGCTCACGATGGGGAGACTGTTGTTGATTCAGCCTCCAAGAGAGAGTAGAGTGTGTCTCGGCTAGCAGAAGCTAACCGTTAGCATCAGCAACCCCACCACAAAGCAGAACTTCTTCAAGTTTAGGGCTGCACAATATATCGAAAAATTGTCATCGCGATAACAGGACGTGCGATAAGCCCATCGCAAAGCACGTCAAAAACTGCGATAAATGTTTGGTTCAAACATTTCCATCCGTGTCATACATCAACTTTTTGTAAACCAGCTCTGTTTTTTACGCGGAAGTATTATTTGACCAATCAAATGTAGCCCCTCTGATATGCGGCCAATCAGATGGGTCCGTTCACGTAATACGCTCGCCCCCTACGTAGACCCTTACCCCAATATTCCACTTTCTCCACTCTGCCCCCGCTTTCCGCTGCCGCTCGCTTCCCTTGTTCGTCATGCTGGCTCAGATTAACGAACGCACTTTGTGCTGAGGTTTCTGGAATCAGCGCTGCTTTCAAACGTGAACGTGAGTCCGCTCGGTGTCGTTAAGCAGCTGATAGTAACCGGGCTGACTCCGACACGTGCCGGTGAACCAACCCACCTACCTCCATGTCGCTAGTCTTCTACCGGTTAGTGACGTTAGCTTCCAGCTAAAAGGCTACAGCACTCTCCTCCCAGTCCCACCCTGCTAAAGAGGGCCTGGAAAAGTTCCCCCACACATCAAAGTGATTTTTCATTTATGAGCTTTTATAACCTTGTTAATCAGGATAGTTGATTTGCTGCTGCACATAAACTGTCAGTCAGAAGCTCTGCTAGCCGGTTATCTTAAGAGGGGCTAGTTAAATTTGTTAGCTTGTTATCAGAATCATAGTTGCAGTTTCATCATCTGAGCTGCTCTTTAAGATCTAGGTAAACTTGTTCAATTTGGGGTTAAAAACAAACGTTTTCACATATTTTCCATGTACTTTTTTTGCCAGTTCCTCTTCTGAAAGGTAGACAATTGTTTTTCTCTTTCCCTCAGAAAATCTTAATATTCTCCTAGTTTGGCCCAGCACAATTCACTTCCCAATTACAGCAACAGCCTTATATCATAACCACATAAGTGGAGAAAATGCTCAGTAGCAATGAGAGAATTTGCTATTGCATTTAAGTGATGTTAACTATTATTTAACATGTAAACTTATTTTCTGATTTTTTTTATTTATTCAAAAACCCTGGTAAGGGATGTTTTTCTGTATTTGGAGCATCAGAAAAAGTTTTATGGTGGAGGTGATGTTTTAAAGTCACTGAGAAACTGCATGCATGCAGTTTGTTGTTTTGCTGCTAATACAGTAGCAGGTGCAGCTGCATGTTTTTACAATAAAAATGTTATGTTGGAATGGAATTCATGCATTAGTTTTTGTTTGCTTTGAACCCAGAGCAGACGTCACACGCCAGATGACATCAACACTGCATACTTTACTATTTGTTCATTTATCGTGAGTAGTATCGATATCGCAATATTAAGCACTGTTATCGAATATCGCAGGCTTTCCTAATATCGTGCAGCCCTATTCAAGTTTGTGTTATTTGTAGAGATAAAACATCAACGTTGCAAAGCAAACAGAATCAGTGGTAGAGTAAGATTAGGGTTAGCCAATCAGAGTAGAGATGTTCAAATATCAGTAAGTAAGACTCAAAATCCTGCTGTGTTCAGCTCCCTTCTGCCCATGGTCACCTTTACTTCCTGAAATAGGGGCAGCAGAGCATTTCCCCCACAGAGACCAACTCATAAGGCATTCATTTATACTAGAGACCACTGCAGGTGTGTTGAAAAACAAGTGATCTTGATGTTTAAGTTAAATAAAAGAAAACAAAGTCATAACTTTGTTTTGCAACAAGGCTCGCCATTGTTGAGTGCATTCCTATATTTCATTAAAAAACAGCTCCAGTTTAATCGCGTCCTCACTGCAGGCAAGAAGGAGAAAACCACGGTTGTAAAAACATGATTTTCAAAGCTAATTTTAATAGCCTGAGGGTAAGTCATAACATTTTCCCATCATAAGTCGAAACATGTGCAATAAAATAAACAGTGCAGCAAGAAAAAGTATGGATTTTCATCTTTAGTTTTATGTTGAGGTGGAAAGAAAGCCGGTTGGATTCTTCTGCTTCGTTTCAAGGCAGACTGAAGGGCTACCTGAACCCACACGCTTGAGCATACAGTTAATTGCATATATAAGTGTCTGTGAGGCAGTGGGGTGAGGGCGGGTTAGCTACCTCGTAATTATGACAAACAGGTATGGCAGGCAGCCGTTTTTGCTGTGACAATAGTATCAACAGACATATTAGACGGCTGTGAAAAAGAACTTTGATTTTCTGTTTCCCCCAGAAATTATAATTATCAGTCTTGCAGTTACAGTTGGATGTTCTTGGACAGGGAACATCTCAGCCTGTGTAGCCGGAGCATACCAGAGTGTGTGACTCACTGGGAGGTCACAAGCTGTTCTCATCAGATTTTACTTTGAGACATCCAGAGAACTCCAGAGTACAACAAACTTATTTAGATTTATTTTTTTAAATAATCAAGCAGGAACACTAAGAAGTTAATTCAATTTTTCTTTTGAAATGTAAATTGATTAAAGCTGCAACAGCAAATCAGCAAAACAAGCTAGCTTTTAAACACAAACACATCATGGAACTGTCACCCCTCCTGTTGGCTATCATTCCTGGGCTACACCCCTCTGACACTGGAACCCAGATTGCCAGAGGGAGCGAGAAAGCTTTAAACACCAGTCGCCCTAAACATCTTTATTTTTATTTTTTTTACGTAACTTCAAATTATGTTTTTCTTTTTGGGACTCTGGTAGCTGAAGTGGTAGCAACCGGCTGTTTCTCCTTCTCTAATGTTATTGAGCGGTGAACCTCTCACACCGGTGGTGTTCTGCACATCAGTGGAGGACCCAGGTAGAAGCAGAAGTGCGGTGATTTAGTGGGACAGACAACAACCAAGCCGTGCTATTGGCAAAGGTTTTTTAGACAAATGCAAGAGAAGAGAACTTCCACAAATTATTTACAGCTAAACTATTTTATAAACCTTGTAAGAGGCGTCATAAAATGGTTTAAGCTAGCTTGTTTTGCAGGTCTGCTATTGTAGCTTTAAACACACCTTTTGCGAGCTTTTTGAGACTAAGAAGGATTTCTTTTAGGGATGGACAATATATCAGCATCAATATTGGTATCGGCCGATGTTAGTCATTTTTAAAAATATGGGTATCGGTCCGATAAATAAAAACAGGCCGATATTAACAAACAATATTTTTTCCATCTTGTCTCCATTTGTTTGCCTGTTTCAGAGGGTGAGGGGGTGATGTGTATTTGTTAAGTCATGTGACAGTGATTGTAATCATCTCAGAAGTGCAAATGTGTGTGTACAAAATTATGTAAATTCAGCTTTAATAATGCTCATTTTATACAAAATCAGCTGATTTTAGAAGCATTACTGTACTATATTGGTATCGGCAAATATCGGTTGTCGGCCATAACAGTGACCTTAATATTGGATATCGGTATTGGCCCAAAAAAGTCTTATTGGTGCATCACCAGTTTCTTTTTTGGTCCAAATGTTTGATTTGAAGAGTGGCGTTAGAAATATGCATGTTTGTGGTGTTTGTTAGAAATCACTGTACATTACTTGGATTTCTATAGCCTCAGAGACCTATAGGGGAGTTTTCCTCTCCACTGTCGCTACATGCTTGCTTAAAATGGTGATTTTTGTGAAGTCTCTTGAGATATAAAATGAGTAAGTCCATGCAGTCTGCTGGGAAACAACTAACTGGCCTAATGAACTGAGCTCAGCACTGATAGGTCAGCTCAAGTGGAATGCCGACCTTGTAAAGTGCCTTGAGACGACTCTTGTGATGTGGTGCTTTACAAATAAACTGAATAGAATTTAAACGTGACTCCTAGTTGGTCTGCATTCTTTTTAATTAGAATGAAATCATATCAACACACTGATTTCTTCTCTTCAGTGGGCCTTTAAAGGTGGTTTCATGCAGCTTTTGACATGTAGAAGATACATTTATACTGAATTAAAGACGTAGCACTGAGTTTGCACCCTGAGCATGTCATTTAGCCCTTGTTATAGGATCACTGGGTTTGAAGATGATTTACAAGCTCTGCTCAGTTTTCCTCCTTGCAAATATTTGTATGGAAGTCATTAGCTCAAATGTGATTCAAGTTTTGATTGACATTTTCATTTTTCAGCCATTCATTTCCAAACACACACACTTCTATTGTACAAAAAATATAATCATATTTTACTACACTTTACAAGAAATCATTATTTTTAAAATACTGATTAAACAAGCTTATTTTCTGTCTTTTAAAATCTTTTCTTTACAGAATACCAACAGCAGGTGTTGGTCCCGACTGGCCTGGAAACATTTTTCTCACCTTCCAGTTTTATCGTTTTCCTCCCGTCACGTCGCAGAAGCTTAAACTACTAACTGGTGACAAGGCTCGGCACAAAACCAGCGGCTCGCTTCCCTGCATCCTGGCCTCCATCAACAAGAACGGATCTATTAATTCTGGTAAGAAAAACTGCTCTCGTTTAACCTGAACCACATTTTTAACTCAAGCAGTTTGTATTTGCTCCATCTAACCACACTTCAAATACAATATCTGGTCCACACGGTGTTTTTAGCCAGACTGTGACTTATGTTACTGTTGTTCAGTCACTTCCAGCAAACTATAAGTTCATCCCACGAAGCTCGCTGACACGTGTTATGCTTAGACTCTTATCTTTCTATCAGTCAAGTGGGGGGGCTGACTGATGTCTGCTCTAGTTGTGTAGTCGCTAATGAAATGGAAAAGGTATTACAGCTTCTGACAGAGTGCGATATTGGACGCACAGATACCCTCTTCAACCCCCCGCCCCATTCATCCGCCTACCCATGTGTCTCCCTTTCCCAGACACACACTCCAGTCCAGCTCTATCAGTATTTCTCTGTCTGACTCAGCATCTCAGTTCATGTCATCATAATAATTATTTATGGATCAGCGCTGAGCTACTAAATGTCCTCATTCTCGTTTCAAAGGAGAAATAAAAGAAAGTTTAACAGGTTTAAAGTGTGCAGCTTGACTGCTCTTTATGTAGAAATATGTCACACTGGATGGAAAGATTCAGAATTAAAAAAGGTGGTAGTTTAAAAACAGTTTTACCAAGACTTTCCACTGGATGTGTAAGCGACGCGCAATGTCATTTTCACAGGGTTTCACAGGGAATTGAGGTACTTTATTTTCTAACTAAGCAACTGAAAATCTGCATGTGACATTTATATAGAAAGTTTTCAGATGTTTGCACGCCTTTGTGTTTGACTTCCTGTCTGGCTCGATCTGAACTGCGGAGTTTGGCGCGTTCTGGAAGACTTGAAATATAAACAACACATCCTTACCCAACATTCTGCAGCTGGTGGAAATGTTCCCATCCACCATAAAGGCTGCTAATTGCTGTTCACTACGTTTTGTGGATGTTGAGCGACCCTTGCACATCTAGTGGAAAGGCCCGGTTAGCCAAACTAAGAAACACTAAAGAGCTTTTTGAGTAATGTTAAAGAATAAAATAAATATGTCAGAGACAGTCGGTGGTGATTGTCATCAGATTGTTTTCTGAGTAAGAGGTAACAGAACTAGTGAGACTAACACGCCTTCATCATTTCCTGAGGTCTTAATACAATCTCTTTGGTATTATTGGGTCAGAATACTATAAGCATCTTTTTTATCAGTTATGAGCTCACAGCAGTTAGTTAGAGGGGGTAAAGTTAATCATTTAGATTCCCTCCAACAGTACTAAAATGTGTTGCTTTCTTCATTAGGCGGGTTTGGTTATTATAGTGATACGGTTCAACCTCTTTTCCAGTGTTTTAATCTGCTGATTAGGCTTGGGCGGTATCCAAATTTGAATACTGTCTAACTTCCACTTAATTTTACCCCAGTATACGGTATTACCGTGAATACTTAAAAAGTATGACGTAAGCCTCAAGTGGACCTTCACCTTTCCGAATCCGAATACCAAACAATTACTAAAAAAATAACACCGCAACTCACATACTATTAACAACATTTATTAACACAAAAAACGCAGCTTATAAACAAGTGCAAAGAGTCACCAGTCCAACAGCAATAAATCAACATAAAAACCCAGGACCACTGTTGTGCGCAAATCAAGTGAACAACTTATCAACGAGCAGCGTGAAACTGTGCAAATAGGCCATAACAGTCAACAAGAGTTGAATAACCATCAACATTGAAATTATAAAAATTATTGCAACCAAAACAACTGCATTAAAATTATAAAAAGAAAACTCCATCACACGGCCACACGCGTGCGCGCTCACACACACACATAGGAGTGTGAACATTATGTTGCAGCAAATCTAGTTAAGATTTCTCGCCAGAAAAACCAGCATGTTTTCTTTTTCTGGGTTCAAGTTTGCACGTTGTGGACCAACAACTTTACCTGCGGTGCTGAAAACCCGCTCCGATGGTGAGCTGGTGGCACAAATACATAGATACCTCCGGGCCAGTCGTGACATCTGGGGAAAACGACTGCCAGCATATTTCCACCAGAGAAGAGGGTCTTCGTCCCCTTGAATAACCGGTTCCAAACAGTACGCTGTTATTTCAGCTCCAGCCCGCTGCTCTGCGCTGACGGGACCCTCCGGCGCAGCGGCTCGTTTTTGCAGGAGAGCTCCCAGAGACATCTTTTTGCGTGGGGGTTCAGGTTGTGCTCGTTCCTCTATGGTTCGGATGGCCACTGCTTCTGGTGCTGTTTGCCCCTCTAAGCTCACGATCTCAGCCTGTAATTCAGCTTTGATTTCAGCCAGTGCGTTGTCATCAAGCTCATATCTGACACGAGGATCGAGGAAAGTGCATTTGCGCACTGAATCGGATTCATACTTGGCCTCCAGCTTTTTTAGAATTGCGGTTTTTATTGACTTTGTAAGCTGGAGGTCGTTTTCTGACACAGCCAACACGCTCTCCCTGCAGAGCTGGAGTATGGGGAGGATAGATGAACTGGTCAGTCGCACAGCTGTTTTTCATGACGGTATTGGAACTGACACCGTCGCTATTTTGTAATACCGCGTGTATACGGTAATACGGTAATACCGCCCAAGCCTGCTGCTGATAAAAGTTATCATTCATCTTAGTTATCATAGCTGAGCATCTAGAAACCACATTTTGTTTTCTTTCCTTCTCCTATGAGGGTCTTTTAGAAAACTACTAGGAAACAAACAAGCTCTTCATTAACATGAGCTGATTTTATGAGCCTCTTGTAGTGTCCAGCAATGGTTAGTTTAGGTACAGCCTGACCTTCCACCATCTATTCAACATCTGGTCAGAGAGGAGACACAACATTGCTTGTGTTCCCTTTAAACAAGTCTGCCTTCACACAAGCTGGGATTCAGACTCCACAAGTCTAAATCGTAACATTAGCTTCCTTTCCTCAAGGTCTCAGCTGCAGAAGACAGAAGATCCAGCTCAAATCAGTTTTAATGTCAAAAATGATTTTAATAAATCAATATGAACTCCTTCCATGACTTATAATCTAGATAATCATTGAATAAACATTTGCTTACTATTAATGGTGATAATTATTGTATTATGAAATGAAGTGCTTCATTAATTGTGCTCATTGAGTGGATGCTGTTGATCCACTAGACTGCAATGTGTTCCCCACGTTTTGACGACAAGGTCCACACACCTGCACATCCACCATAACAAGTACAGCTAAGTTAAAGTCCCATACACATAGCTAAAACCTTTTACCCAGATCAGGACTTCCATATTAAAGAAGGTGTGTTTCTGAGAGTTGCTTGGAAACATCTTCCTTTCTGTCAGCCTCTGACTGGCTTTGAAAACAATAACAAATACACTTTAAAGCTAAAGCCAGACAGAGATTTTTCAGTGCTGGAGAGTTCTGGAGAATAGCTCAGATTGGCCACCTGTTGCAAGACTCCATAAACATCCAAGATTTTTATACGTCGTGAAACCTTTTGTGCACCTGCAAAGCTGATGAAAAACACTTCCTGCAGAGCAAAGCTGAATTGTTCACTTCTTAAGAGTTATCTCTGAGACGCAAGCTGATTCCATCCTGTGATGCCCGGTGACATCTCTTGAGATTGGAGAAAGTCGGTGCTTACCTCTTCTGGCCTCCGAATCTGGACGAGGGTCATCCAAAGGGTGAGAGTAGAACACAGAGAGATTGCGTCTGAAGGTGCTTTGATAACAATCAACCTCATAGTTTATTGCAAACCAAATTCTTTTTCATCTGGAGACACCACTCTGAGTTTTGGACGTTCTGACCAACACCTCATTTACACATTAGTCTTACATCACCTTTAGACCCATCCATTCACGGTAAATGCTTAGTTCACTTGTGTTTTTCTTGTAATAAAAATCATTTTTACTATAAACCTGACTCTTTCATGAATCAAAACGAAGTGTGTATAATTGCTTAATAAAGCAAAGAATATTAGAATCTTCTGATTAAGCCCTATAATTTTCTGATATTTACAATAAAGATCAAGCAATGTAATATTGTATATTTATTCAGAATATCAAATAAATAATACACATTTGCCACCGCTACACTCTCCTTCGATCATCCCTCCGGAGGATCGTCAGAGTCTTTGAGGACCTGGCCCACATGCTGGTCACAAATGTGGATGTGTGGATTGCTGTGATTCTCCCTGGAGTCTAGATTCAAACATTGGAGAGTTGAAGACTTCATTCATTTCTTTTGTTTCATGTTGGTTTTTCTGCTGCTACTGACAAGTTATGCTGTACGTACCATATTTTCCGGAGTATAAGTCGCTCCGGAGTTTAAGTCGCACCAGCCATAAAATGTATAATGAAGAAGAAAAAAACATATATAAGTCACATTTTGGGGGAAAATTTTATTATTTTTCTTACAAAATTTGAGACCAAGCCTTTCACATTGCAAGACAAGTACCGGTAACAATAACAGCATAAACAATCAGGGCGCAGCAGCGCGCCACTGTCTCCAGCAGAGGATGGCGGTGTTTGAAACCCTCCTAGCGGGACAGGGTAGCTCATTCCTGGGTCGGAGCTGCCCGGCCCGCAGCAGCTCGCCACAGGCTCCAGCAGGTGATGGCAGGGCAGAGGACCTTATTCCTGGTCCGGAGCCGGTCCGCAGCAGCGCGGTATACATAATTTGGTATATAAGTCACTTTAACCAGCCAGACTATGAAAAAAAGTGTGACTTATAGTCCGGAAAATACGGTAAGTGTATAGGAAGCCTGCACACATGAGCCAATGAGTGTCATCAAAAACTTACCATTGACCATCAAGCTTAGAAAACTCCCACCAGGACAGAAGAAAAAGACAAGAAAACACTCCAAACCTGCAGATATCCAAACTGGGCCTTTAATGAGTTCATAAAGAAATCTGAAAAATCCCTTGAGCATCAAACAAAGATGAAAAACTTGATAAACAATACTGTTGTGGTTTTTGTCACTCCAGTCTCACTTATTGTGGTATCCTTGAACAGTTTCTATACGTGTCTCAT